GCCATAAAGTATCCAATTGTTCCTGTACTAGATCAATGCGTTGATTCAAAACCATAATGCCACCTTTCAATTGAGCATTAAGGGTAGATTGGATATCCAACGCAGTGGCCACATTACAAACACAAAGGGAGGCCAGACACACACAGGAGTAGGAGCAAAGGATATATTCCTACCAGGAGCTAACAAACTAACTGTACTTTCAAAGATCTGAAAGGTATTCCAACGAAAAGAGGCATTTCCTGGTCTATGTATAATCCCTTCCTCTCCAAGGTCTTTACCAATTCTCCATATGCTAAGTGCAGCAATTTCAACTCTTTACTAGTTAACAGAATGTCATCCATATAGTGAACACATCTCACAGCAGGGTATTTCTCTCTAATAGGAGCAATAGCATGACACACAAGAAGCTGACACATAGTGGGGCTATTGGCCATACCCTGGAGTAAAACCACCCACTCATATAATGGCATATAACGGTATGGAGAATAGAAGGTAAAGTAAAAGCAAACCTAACACTATGCTGCACACACCACAAATCAGGTTCTTCATGATTGGGTAGGGCTGACAACAACGGTAAACCAAGCTGCACAGGCCCCATGACTTGCATCTTTTTATTTCCTTCAGCTGTTCTAACATCTCCTGCCCCTTTTCTACAGCCTTGCAGCATCTTTGATCCTCTAGACAGCTGCGAACCATTTTCCAAATAGGCCGCATTCCTGGCTTCATCGTTCCCTGTGCCCAGGCAAAATCTAGATCTTTTCCAAGCTTATCCCAACTAGCCACGGAGAGATTGCCCGAAACCGAGAACCAGGGTGCAATGGCGTGGCATTCGTTCAGGAACCTCTGCAACGTGGCTTTAGTTAACTTTAAGTTTTAGAATGAAGCACCTTGGTGCTCCTTTACCAGAGACCTATCTCCGCATTCACCGCGGACTTTACAGTTCCACTTACCTTGGGAACTTACTGGCGCTGCCCTGACTGTGAGAAGTTCTGAAGTCCCTGTATGGGCCACCACTTGCGGCGTCCACCCTTGACCAGCAAGAACAACGCCACACCGAGGAATCTTTATGGGCCACCACTTGTTGCATCCACCCTTGACCAGCAAGAACGACACAACACTGAGGAATCTTCTTCAACACAGTTTAATCGGGAACTTTATTTACAGTGAAATGGCGGCCCCGAGTAGAGGAAGACGGGGCCTGATATAGTCTACATCTACCAATCACCTAACCCTATGTGGCGTGCCAGGATAGGTTGTCTCTAAGCAGAATTAAGAGGATACATGGCCTTTACCAAATTAGAAGTTGTTTACCACAGACAGCACTCGCCGTCGGGCTGGCGGAAGGCAGAAACTGGTGCCAACTTTTGGGCGCGGTACTTTGCAGCTCTCAACACTTTCAGACAGACACACCTCCTTCTCTCCTATTTCCTTGCAGGGACCCTCCACAAACCCACCATCCAGGCTGAGCCAGGCACCATGGTAAATTCTGAAAACTCCATGAACATCCTCTTGCCAGGGGACCCTGGATGCAGAAATGTGTTTTCTGCATAAAGAGGGAAGCCAACAAACCTGGGGTACACAGACCCCAAAGGAGCCTCAGAACAAGTCCATATTCTCCATTTCTTCTGTAACAGAAGACTCTGGGGGGCAATATCGCTGTTACTGTTACAGCTCAGCTGGCTGGTCAGAGCGTAGTGACTTCCTGGAACTGGTGGTGACAGGTGAGGGGACAGTGAGAGTCGCAGCCCCAGGATCTGCTCTCAGCAGTATTCTCTCCCAAAGCCCTTTGTCATGACCCTGTCCCACTGGGTAGTTGCAGGTAAAGAGTGAAAAAGAAAGATCCTGATTGTTGAGCCAGAGGGCCATGCCTGGGGAGAAGTAGGGACATGCACAGGGCATGATGGGAAGGAATAGGTGTTTGGTAAAAACCAGCTCCTCAATCACTGTCCTGTCACCTTCCCTCCAGGTCTGTCCAAGAAGCCCTCTCTGCTGAGTCACCAAGGCCATATCCTGGACCCTGGAGAGAGCCTCACCCTGCAGTGTTGCTCTGACATCAACTATGACAGATTTGCTCTGTACAAGGTGGAGGAAGACATGTTCACCAAGCGGTATGGCCAGAGGACCCAGGATGGGCTCACGTTGGCCAGCTTCACCCTGGGCTATGTGAGCAGCTCTACTGGAGGCCAATACAGATGCTATGGTGCACACAACCTCTCCTCTGAGTGGTCAGCCTCCAGTGATCCCCTGGACATCATGATCACAGGTGAGGAACAAATGAGATTCTATGTAGTATCTAATCTCAGCATGAGCTCTCATGGGGGACCTAAGAGCTGAAGGCTGGGATGAGGGGAGGGATCTTATTCAGGAACAGATTGAGAGACAGGGAGCAGGAGAGAGAGAGTAAGGCAGAGATAAGACAGAGTCACAAGTGCTCAGAGCTGACCCATGTGAAGTTTCAGCTCAGAGCATTGAAGGCAGCCTCTCATTATGTCTGCTCTCTTTAGGACAGTCTTTAGCCATGCCTTCCCTCTCAGTGAAGCCAAACTCCACAGTGCAGTCTGGAGACAACGTGACCCTGCTGTGTCAGTCAGCATACACGACAGACACTTTCATTCTGTCCAAGGAGGGAGCAGCACACCAACCCCAGCGAATGAAATCCAAGTTCCAAGATGGGGAGTTCCAGGCAGAATTCTCCATGACTGCTGTGAAAGCTGCCCTTTCAGGCACCTACAGGTGCTACAGGTCTCAAGACTCATCTCCCTACCTGTTGTCACATGCCAGTGTCGCTGTGGAGCTCTCTGTCTCAGGTGAGGTGACCCTGAACTCTCAGGGTGACTTGCAATCCAAACACTAGAAGAGCCCTTGACTTGGATGGGATTAAAGGGACAACAAGAAGGGTGAGTCAGAAGGCTCTTTCCCTGACAGAGAAGTGGATGACAGCAGGGTCCCTTAAGTAATGTCCACTCCATCCTCTATTGCAATCTAGGTTTGGG